TAATAGTATATATATATATATATATATATATATATATATATATATATATTTCTTTTATTAGCTTTTGAATTAAGATTATTTTTAATTACATTAATGTTGCTGATTCAACGTTATTTTTTTCGTGTATAGATATATATTTCTACTTTTTTTAAAATTGGAAACTCTCTTACATATCTCTTACATATCTAAACTAGAGTTATAAAACATTCGAGGTTCTTCTATATATAAATTAATAGAATTAATAAAATTAGAAAAGATAAGATAAAAAGAGTAAAGAATATAGATAATCAAGATCAAAACAAGACAGATTACAAAATATAGATTACAGAAGAACATAAAATTATTATATCTCTATTCTCTATCTTCCAAATGTTGATTAAGCTCAACAGATTGTTGAAGTTTTGAAAATAATTGGTACTTTAAGTCTTCGAGAATCTTCTTCAATGTACTTTATATTTTCAGTTACAGAAATCTTTGGATCTTTTAATACATCCATTCTTCGGTCTTCGATGTTTTCGAAGCGTGTCGAGGTCTCTTGACCGCCAGCCGGTTTCATTATAGCAGACATATAATCTCAAAATATCATTCAAGAGTGAAAAAAGAATTTCAAACATAAAACGCGTCTTCGTCGACTGAATTTTAAAAGGAACGTTGTAAATTCGACGAGTCTGAACTCGTCGCTGAGTGCGTTTTGCCGCCTTCCCCAACTTCAACTTTGACATCTCCTTGACTTCTTTGTCGCGACTTACTTCATGTTTCCACTTTCAAGTATGTGATTTCATCGTCACCGACATTCACATGCTCTGTTCCCCTTGCGACATATTATATGCACAAGCGACAAGAGGAGAACGATCATTAATTTATACCACGACCTTTGAAGCAATCCAATATAACGGCGCATCCTTCCGCAGGATAGAATTAATCAAGCATGCAAACAAGAGACGAGTATCGCTTTCGCAAATCACTTTGCTTTTTCGTATATATCGATTTCCCCGGTTAAATAAACGATGAAAGCTCCACAATAGGAAGTATAGACAGGAAATCTATAATTTTTTATTTATTATACTAAATTAACATTTATATATTTAATAACATTCTACAATCATAATCTTATGTGTAATGTTAAATATTATATTATTAGTTAAAATTATAAAGAAAAATTAACAAGTTATCTTAACTTACTTACTTAGTATTAGATGATAGTGAGAGCATAAATCAGAAAAAAATTAAATAAAAATAAAATTCATATAAATATATAATTTGATAATCAGGTACATAATAACTAATGTCACTTTCTTATGCGAAACAAAATATCTAAATGAATCTCTTATTTCTTCACCGAATCAATTTTCGCGCATTATTTTAGCACAATATAGAGTGTTATAATAAGTGAAAATGTATTTTAAATTAAATATATTCCGAGAAATTCACATTTGTTCCGAAGTATGTAAGGCAGAGAAAGGAAAATATGACCTATGTATGAAATATCCTGAGGCAAATACCTTTTCTAAGAAAAATGGAAGTCGCGATTTGGGGGGTATTCGCGAATGGTGCTGTAGAATTTATGGTGCTTGCAGAAAAAAAACGAAGAACACTGTCGCGTGACCTATCTCCGTGGGTAAATCAAGCGTCAAATACCGGTACCGGTCTCGGCTTACGGGGTCAAAGCTGAATACCTCCATTACAGGATGGTTAATGGTCTCTTTGCGCGTTTCTGTCTACCGCGAAAAAGATTCCCTTCTGAAAATATTGCTTCTGGCTGGTGAAAAAATGGAAAGCCTGCTTCCATAGACTACTCCTTCTTATCACTAGCAAAAGTTCAACGAACTGCTAACATCGCATTGCTACAAGATCTAAAATTATCAAACATCTCGTGGAGGAAACCAACGCTAAATTAAATTTGTCAACGCTAAATTCGTTGCTAAATTAAATCTCACGATGTTAAATTGAATCTGTCAGCACTAAGTTTCGCTTAAATTACACTGCCAACGCCGAGAGTCTCTCCAAATTCAAAGAATCTATATTTCGGTAACATATATACGTCTGATAAAAATTCAAGGTGTTTATGTTCACGACAGTTAAATTGGAAAATCGCAAGCAATAAATGTCACATGGAGAGTGATCATTCTTCAATCAGAGTAAAAGCATCGTTAATAGCGTCGTTTTCTCACACGAAATCGAATCTTGCTATATCTCACGATGACTCATCGGTGCATTTCGTACCGTGCGCAGAAACGACGATATTTCAACGATCGTAGATAATTACTAATGACGCTTGTCACTATATATAAAATATATATAAAATCACCTTTAGTTAAATAAAAGGACAAATCCACACTATATATAAAAGTGATGTAAAAATAAATTTACAAGCTATCGAACGATTGCAATTATTATCTGATCTCCCTCGAACCGCATTACAGAGAAAGAGTAGAACAGCATACCGTTACGATTTTTTCTATCAATGTAATATGTGAAAATTGAACTATTTTCATCTAATATGCTCACATAAATTATTTATAATACGTAAGTGAAATCTCGATGTAAGGCTAATAAATTTTTCTTAGGAATTCACGGTGAAAGATTCTATCGCTGAGTGAGTCACTTGATTCGGAGAAAATTCTTATTTTTGAAGAAAAAAGAATTGGACAATAAAAACGAGAAAAAGGGGAAAGGGTGCATAATTATCACGATTAATTAATATATTTACGTCTTCTGGATCGCGCGTTTGTACGTAGTAGTGAACATTCACGCGAGACAAAGGCTCAAGGATTTTTGTAGCAACGCGCACATCACACGCACAACGCAAACGTTTAGGGTAAGATGCAAGAGCGAAATTGACAGAGCACGTGGCCGAGAATGCACGTACGGATGACGTCGTGCGACATACTGACTCGGTGTCGCCGACGTCGAGGCGCCGCGACGACGGCGCCGACGTATCGGCCGGAAGTAACACCCTCGTGGTTACAGTCACCAGCACAAGCGCGACGCGCATCAAGATCGCGTCGCACGTGCAAAAGTTACCCCACGAGAAAATCAATCTCTCCGAGAGCCTCTGGGTGAGCCCTGTACGGTCGTGTCACGAAGCGGAAAAAGGAATCAACGACGTCATCGATAAACATTCAAATGCGATAATTCGTTGAGCGAATATGTTACACTAAGGTTCAAGATGTTAGTGAGAAATTGTTATTTATCGAAAAAAAATCAATCGCAAAATTTCGATACGAATAGTTTATTTCGCAACATATAATCTAATTAACATGTGGTTAATTTTTTATATTTGTTGTTGTAAATAAGAAGTGCAAGAGAGTCATGCATCACAGCGGGGTCCGATCACGAACCGAGTCGTGAAAAATTCGCAATTATTATTTTTGCGAAAAATATCACATCAGTCAGAAATCGAACCTGGATCTCCTGCTTACCGGGCAGGCATCTTATCCTTTCGACCATAGAGACATGTGATATTTATCGTAATAACATATTTAGAACAACATGTTAAACAACCATGTCATATATACATATATACATATATTACAATATATACATATACATGTATATTCTCAAATTCCCACGACCGGTATTCCAGAGTGATATTGGCCTCTCACCGATGAATGCACGTCGGACATAATTTCGTTGGCAAATTTAAAAATTTGATCGGATATAGATTTGAAGGTAATTTCGTTGAACCATCAAAATTATTATGTAGAACGCTTAAATAATATTGCAAAAATTTTTGATCTTCTAGCAACCGACTTGAACATTGTACATGATAATTTTGAAAGTCCAATAAGATTATTTTCAGATCTGTATTTAGTCGAATTTTTAGATTTGCCAATAAAAATATTCTGTATAAATTGCAAAAGAATTTCTTGTATTAAAGTTAAGTACTTTAGTTTATCTGTCTGGATGTTCATTTACGTTATAATTAAATTTCAAAATTGAAAGAAATGACACGTGAATTCTTTTTCCGCAGTGACCGTCTCAATTAAGCGTTCCAATTAAATACAATTGTACGAGATAAACCAGTCGTCGCAAGAAGTCCGTGAATATCGTGCATTGCATTAATGCGAGAAATTTTAACGAGTGACTTTGTAAGTTGTTCTTGCGCCTTCGACATCTCCGTAAAACCGACCAAGAAGAACCAGTCCCCTGTGACCTCTCTTGCATGACCTTCACCTACGCGGCCACCTTCTCCGGAATACCTGCGGCCAGGTCAACTTCCGCATCGAAGAAACATATCTTTACGGTCGCGAGTATCTCATTGCCGAAGGCCGGTATTCACCTATAAGCGGTTTTTGCAGAATCGCATCGGTCGAGAAACGGTGGACGGAGCGAATAACGGCGAATCCGCGGCGAATCCGCGGCGAATCCGCGGCGAATCCGACAAAATCCCGTCAGCGTATCGGGTGGCCTCGCGAAAGAAAATTGCACACCACAAACTGCCTATGCCACTGCAATTAGTGGCAAATTAATATTGCTACCCACAGTATAAAGCTAATTGAATAGCATCGTTCGTTGCATAAGATGTTTCCAAAGGGACGTATCCGATTATTCATATGCGGAAATTAATTTATTATATTTATTATACGTATTATATAATAGCGTGTACCATTTCGAAATGAAATTCGAATCCCGGAAGAAATAATTGAAAATTAGCATATTTTCGTAGAATATATCTTAAAAACTTACATAAATGCAAAAGGAAAACATCTACATAACAATCTAATATAAATAATTAGTAATAATATTTTTTATATATTTAAAATTTCAGTCATTGATTTATATATGATTTTATCTACAATTTATATAGTATTTTCTTACACACTTGCTATTTTAATAAATATTTTCTATATTAATTATATAATTATTATATTAAATTATTACATTAAAAAATTCTGAATAATTTTCTGTACATTCGGCCTTATACGAATATGAGTACTTCATAAATCAAAGATAATTGTGCTTGCACTCTGTTCTTGGATAAAGTTATTTTCCTATCAAAAATTAATAATTATGGATTATTAGTATTAAAAATTAATATCAAAAGTATTACAATAGTTTGAACGTCATCCGTACGTATAAAAGGTAGAGTCGGCGCGATTAAGTTGAGTGTCTGATTAAGTGCTCTTAACTTTTGCTTCTGACGAAATGTCGAGCGAAGAATGTAAGAATGGACTTGACGAAGTCGGTGCAGCGCGACGTATTCTGGAGCAATGTCCGTTCCGGGCTACGTGCTCCCCTTAATTGAGCGTGCGCTAATCCCTCTTTCCTTCGTCGTTGGCCTGGGGGAAGACGGCACGGCAATTCCCCACGTGTCGCGCCTTAATTGAGCGTGCGTCCACTTCGAGTCTGACGATTCTTTTCTCATCTTCCTTGCCGTCCCGACATTAAATCGTGCTCACGTGCGTAATAAATTGGAATCGTGCACTTTGCGAAACTGTCCTAGGACGGTAAAGCGGCCGTGAAGAATGCGATTAACTCCATTTAATTCGGTGTGACTTTCGGTTAAGATACCAATTTTAGTTTTCTGTCAGTTATCTTTCTTATCTTGCCGCATTACGAAAACACGAAACATTAAGATTTCTTATCTCTCTTAGTAAACATCTCAGTTCTTGAATTTTGGCATAAAAGACGCGAAATATATAAATAATTTCTTAATTACATACTGATTAATTTTAGTAAATGAAATAAGTGAAACGATTAAATATATTCAATAAAGTTTAGTAGAAATTCATATATTTTGGTATTTCTAACAAAGACATATAATTCTAAATAAATGTGTGTGTATATTTCACAGATTCTCCGAGAAATTAATACTAATACTAATATCGAAAATATTTCACCTAATCATGTTTTCTATAAAAATAGCAAAAATTTAGAAAGTCAAGATTTCATTAGATGGTATTCTCATTTTAATTAACGATGTATTTAATTCGCGTGTTAAATGCTAATTTATTTTAATCGAAAGAAAATAAGAGATCGTACAACAATCATATAGATAAATTTAAACAAATGCCATGTTCAAGGTATTCTATAAGACACGTGCTATTTTAACACGAACAATCGATTTATGACATTTACCTAAGGTTTTGCACTCATTTAAAAACTCATTTACAATGCTGCAACTCGTGTAACTTATCTATTGTTATAAACTTAACACAATCTATATAAAGAAAAAAAATCATATTAAGAATTATCCTAACATTTTATTATTGCATCGAATTAAATATAAATTTTCCCTTGAAAGACGATTCAGATATTATTTCTGACATAATTTATACTGTTCATGATGATGATACGATACGAGTCTACAATCAACACAAATATTGTCAGAGCGACATCATAAGTATCTATATGTAATCTCAAAGTAGACCTGTTTATCAGTGATTCATCGCTGCAGGTCTTCCTAAATTTATTATTAGAAGTCGAAGTGAGTCGACCGGTTGAGTAATCTTCTCATTTTTCCAGTATTAGCTAATATCACAGAAAAAACCAAATTTATACTGATTAATTTTACATTTAAATAATGATTTGTATAAAATAGTAGTACTAAGTATAGTACTAAAATTTTTTCTTTATTGTATCTATTTGCGATAAGATTACGTTTTCTGCAATTTCTTATCAGGTTTTACGCAAAAAGTTATTAATATATATATCTATGTTTTTCAACATTAAAATAAAACAAGACATTTCTGATGATTCATCGGGATATTAAATATTTATGTCAATACAATTTATATTAAATTCAGGTAAAGTAATCAATTTTTCGATAATTCATTATTTCATTAAATGAAATGAGATTGTTCCATTTCTAATGCAACCAAATCAATTATTTGATTGTTATTATTTCAAAATTAATTTCTCCTGAGCTCTCACAATTATCAATATGCCTTCCGTCAAACACCAGCAAGAATTCGCTGAACGATCGAGGCCAAGTTCGTGACGACGTCCGGCCACGTGATGCGTTGTCACGATCGGAACTCTAAACGTACTTTCGATCCGCCAGCATGTGCGTTTCGGCATGAACGCACGTCGTCGTGGGGCATTCATTTCTCCGAGAGGAGAAACGATCTGGCAGAATTTCACCGACCCAAAAAACAGCTTTTCTGACGTTGCGTGAATTTTTTTCCCCTCCTCGCAATATTCCTTTTTCCTACGACTGTTTCTTCCAACAAGCGGGTCCTCAGAGCGGGCAATGAATCGGAATCGATAGCTCGCATTTCATCGCCGTGATATTGTCCGACGAGAGAAAAAGCAGAAAAGAGAACTTGATCTCGGACCGCTTGAAAAATGAGATCGCGCATTATCACGGGAATCATACGGGACTCGACGCGAGGCCATTTAGAGTAATTTGCGTTCGGTCAATGCGTATCGCGGGACTTTGAATGCGTAACGGCCCCAAATTTATTACCGTTGTCCGTTCTGACCGAATTCACATAATGTAATGTCTCGAAAGGTCAATCGTCGTACGATTATTGAAACGATATTTCCAACGTGCTTCCTTCGTTATATTAATAACGTGATAGCTCATGGTAACTTTACACAATAGACATGTAATAGCGTGTACTTACTTTTCATCGTCATAAATACCGGTTAATTATCGAACCGTAATTGCTGGGAACGAGAGCAACGTGATAGCGCAGCTATAGCGCTTCCCATACCTTCCTAATGTATCCTTCGAGAAATCCTCAATCAGAGCAATCGCCGATGACATCACGACGACCATGGTAGAGCTCGTATCTCATATCTCGCAGATGACAAAATTTTTCGACGCGTATAGAATCACCGCACTATTAGTTCAACTCACTGCACACTCGCAAAAATTTGCAATCAATGTCGCTAATTACTCTCGAAGAAGAATTTTTTTTCACTCTTGCAATCTTGTTTCGAAAGTCACGCTTGCTGTTCTACGTTGAGGAAAACATTGAGTTGCTCGACCACAAAGTCGTCGATTAAAACAAGATTGACGATGCAAATCCACGGATCCACGTGAATTGCCCCGAGGCCTGTCTTCTCTCGAGTCGACGACCGTGGATCAATCTAAGATTGCCTACTTGATTTCTCGGAAGATGGATATCCAGATACCAGCGAGAAACGGGCGCTATATTGGCTGGCACGCGCCACGGACAATCGGACGAGGATCGGTGATGCACATAATACGATGACCGATGCACAGTCACGTAGATCTTTTTACTCGACACGCAACGAACTGTTTTCTGAACTCAGATCGCACGACTCACCGCGTTTCACAATTTAATGATTTGACTTCCCCCGAGGATCGACTCGCAATCTCAAAAATTATTCGCTGAATTTCGAACAAAGTTCTTCCTCCACAATGGCAAAATTTCGGTTAATATATTTGACGCGCTCGATTCACTTTTACCCCGAATCGATTTAGAATACTGTTCGAGATATCAGTGGCCAGGTATCGTAATAAAGATTCTTGAATGTTTCGAGACACCGAGTTACATCCCGAGAAGAGCGTCGTCATCGGCGCTTACGGCGGTTTCGGCGAGCGACGGACTGCAAATGCACGCACGAGATCGTGGAGAACCAGCCGGTGCACCGTCCGCAATCGTCGAGGAGGAGAGGAAGAAGGTCTCACTGAAGATGCTCGCGCCGGTTCCGAGGAGGCACATTCACCTTGGCGAGCTCTTACGCACTTGTGTGCACGCGTAAACGAGCCAAAGTTGTTACCTCGGTCGGATCATATACACGGCAGATGCGGCGGTATCGAACTCGTGGGACCAAAGAGTTTCTCTGCCGCGATAACTTCGAAGCGCCGGGCTTTCACAACCTTGATCTTGATGGTGATAATTTATATGTTACGAAACCTTCGCCTTGTAAAATCAGCGCACAGCGAAACTTAATTGAAACCACTTGTTACGGTTATCACGAAATCGATATCGAGAATGATCAATCTTTATTAACTACTATAAGGATGAAATGTTGGTTTTATTCGCAGGAGTATATTTTATAAGATAAAAGTCCTGTTTAATTTTTTCCAAATGATCTTCCAATTCAAAATTGTGTTAGGATAAATTTTCATCATTATATTCTAAGATTAAGACTATTAGATATAAGCCATACAGATTCTATTTAATAATATTTAAGCTAATATCATCTTTTAAAATATATCGTATACAAAAGCAAATTATCTTACTGAATTTTTAATATTAATCTTCTAAAAATATTAGAATATTTTTTAACTTATTTTCATACAAGACATTTAAAAAAATATTAGTCTATATATCAATTTCAAGTCAATAATCTCAATCTCAGAATATAATGATAAAAGCTTATCTTTTATTAATGATGTATTAAATTTTTAAGGATTAAAATACAAAAGAATTAAAAGCTGGAAGAAAATTTATCACTTAGAAATGTACAATACAAAACACATCATCAAGTCATCTCCAGCTAAGCTTAACTCGGAAACCTTACGTTATGTTCAATCTATTGCGATAGGATCTTCACAAATGAAGAGAAGAGGATTTAGTATAAATTAGCATGCTACCTAAAGGAAAGTCATAGATAAGAAGAACCCGTAGGGGTACTTTCATACATCAAGAGGCAATTAGATGAAGAAAGAAATCCTCTGTTAAGAACCGGTTGGCAATTATAAGAGCGCTACTAAAAGGATCGAGAACTTTTGTTCTCGCTCGCTTAAAGCAAGAGAGATCTCTACGACAAATAGCTCAAAGGTAATGTCCGAAAATAGAAGATAAGAAGAAAAACGCAAATCTTGACCAACCTCTAATTACTCGAAGCCGATTACAATGCCGTTAATCGCACTAATGAGAGCACGCTTTGACGGAACTTACGCGTTTAATGCACTGTACGCACATCTTGGTCACACTCTGAATACGATGAAACGCGACATTTAAATATCGCGAGCCGCTCTGCTGGATGATTACGAACGACAAGAAAAACTCGCAAGGAAAAAACCTCCGCAAAAAACAACTTGTCGTGAGTTACATGTGTTTACCGGACAAAATTGGCTCGACAAAAGTGGAACTTTCTACCCCATATATTTTCAAAATTGCATATAAATTAAACTCTGCATCGATAATATTTCATGGACATAATGGACAACGAAAGATTCAAACAAGTTCTGAGAATCTCTTTCATTAAAAACAAGGATTTAACATATATCTCATGGTATAAGTTCGTTTCTTGTTGTATAATAAATATTCCTTTGTTTATATAAAATGGTAAAAATGTCTGTGTAACAAAGCTATAACACTTTACGTTATATACCTTACGTTACTTTCATAAACTTTCCTTTCCTGTTAATAGATAGGAGAAATGATTTATAATACTTCCGCCTAACGGTACATTTATCAATCGATTAATTAATCTCCAGTCAACCGGATCTTCGACAAAAAAACCTACGTATGAAAATGTATTTTCAAACATATATGTATCTAATTAATGCACTTCACGTTTCCCACTGATGCAACAAGTCTTTTATAACTTTCTATCATAACAGCGGATGAGAAAGAATAAAAAAGAAGAAATATGAAACCGAAGAGAGAAAACATATAAACTTGTTGCGTTTTCAAATGCACATGTGTGTAAATTACAATATGTCAATAGCAAACGCATCCAATTTAATAATTTACACCTAACATCGAGCGGTTAATTAACAGTGGCATTGAATCAAAGATGAGTATTCCCTGCTTCAATTTAGAGCGGACAACTCGTACGCTGAATAACAAATACGAAGATTGTGTTAAGCAATAATCACATTAGCATTTTTTTACATCCAATGTGATACATAAATAATGCGATAAAATTTTTTCGTCATTACTACGGAGTCCTGCCGCCTATTATAGTCATTTAACTTCCATATTTCAATAATTTAGATAATGAAACGTAATTTCATTTCAGTATCATAACGAATTCTCTAAAATGATAAATTATTTTCTATCAACGTGCCTTAAGGAGGTAATGTCTCTTATTAAATGGTTTCAAAAAAATTAAATAAAAGTAATAATACAAGTAGATATATATGTGTATATATATATATATATAATGAAACAATGTTCTATGTTTGTGGTGCTGTCACGGAAGCAATATATTTCCCGGATATTCTATGTTAATATCGCCGAGCAAATTATCATCGCGGACTATCACGAATGGTGTTGATCGCAACATGTATTTGATCGTTCGACTCGTATGTACAGGCAAAAATAACGGTACGAGGATGATCTCTCGTCGCGCCGAAACTGGTTCCCCGAATGCCCCGAAGAGACTTTTCGATTAAGAGGCGGTCCCGGTTCCGGCGTTAAAATCAACCGCGGCTATAACGAAACAAGCGTACAGAACGCCTTCATGAATTTTCATATCAACAGGATTCCGCGATCCCACGCGATCCCGACGTGATCGCACGTGCGTAGCAATCCGCCACCAATCCGCGGAGTAATTCACTTCGGAGTGCAAACCGTGAGTGCTCTCTCTCTCGCTCGTATGACCGAGAGATAGGTGCATTGTATGCACCTAGCGCGCTTCTTCTCGTCCGGACGAGCGACAGGCGCGTGCTCGACGGTACGACGCGTGCTACGCACGTGTCCGAACCAGTTTCACGACGGCTCCCCCAAGGAGATTCTCGGGGAGAGTCCTATCGTAGTCGTAAATCTCGTACGAGTCTCCCGACGATCGCGTGTCCCACTAGATACTCTTCCGCACCTTCGATTTCTCGAGCATTCCACGTAGGGAAATTTCATTCTAATTTAATTGCACGTTTGACAAGTTAGTTCCGCCCCGTAGAAATAATTTTACATGCGGAAGTAACGGCGCAGCCGCTCACCTCCCGTCGAGATTTCGAGTGCGACGGCACGGCTCTCAAAACCACAATGGAAATGTTTCGTTAATCTCGATCGCGATACGCAGTCGGACCATAAGCGAAATCGATTTAAATCTCGAGACGGCGCGTGATTTACCGTTCGTCTGTTCGCCGAGACGTAAAAAAAGAAAAAAGGAAAGAGAAAAAAGACGAACGAGAAAAAACGTCGGTAGTAAAATCTCTGCGAAACATCGCGGGCCTCCTAAGAGGCTTGATGGATACGAGGTTATTAACATTAACCACCTGTTCATGCGGATGTTATTACTCGACCATAAACATACATGTATAAATACAGATGTCCATTTTTTTATATTCGTCCTCGCTCCGAAATTCAAGGCATATTCTGCTCCTAAATTTCTCGCGTGTTTCAGTCTCTTATTTTTATTAGATTATATATTATTTTTGTTTATGATATTAAAAATTGAAACGATCTCGATTCCAAACTTGTTAGTAAATTTTTAGGAGCAAGTCTACGAAATTGAAGATAAAAAATGTACAGAGTTTAAATTCTAAGAAAATATTCTATATCTATTTCTAAAGAGATATCTATTTCTAAAGAGAATATTCTCACTCATGTATAAATTATTGTACACGAGAGAGAGGAGGTTCAAATGGCGTGAATGTTGAGGAAAAGAAATCATTTTTCTTTTGGAAATATAAACGTATAAATGTAAACAGAGATTAGTCCACTTGACAATTATTCATTGTTCATGATGGAGTCGGATAAATAAGTTATATTAATTGAAAGAATCTCGAGACTGAAGCCGGTGCGTTACACGTCCCGTCGAGAGTCGTAAATAAAGCAACGTCGCGAGCAGTTAACGGCAACTGACAGCATATCTTGTGTGGCTCGATAAGGCGCAATTAACCGCATGTTATGAATGAACTATCGCAATGTCAGGGACGAAGCTGCGGACGTGAGGGGACGTCGCGCGCATCCCCTGCAAATTGACAGAACGCGTCTAGGAAGTGAGGTTAGGCGTCGTCACGGGGGGAAGAAAAGGATGACGCGTAAAGTGATCGCCGTGTGCGACCGGAAGTCAAGGCTGTAATTTCACGACCCGTCGCGACAAATCGACCCTTTAGCAAGAATCGCGTGGGACGAAGGAAACCTGATCTCCTTCTCGCTCTCGCTCGACTGCGAGTCTCTCGCGCGATCGACGGGCAAAACGCGCGCGCGTGCGATCTCGTCCGGCCCGATCCGCCGCGATCGCTCGCACGCGATTCACGGTAAAAATAAACGCGAGTCGTGACAACGGGGCCGCGGCCGCAGCAGGGTGGTACGAACGCGCGTAGGAGCTCGACGTCTCTCTGTGTGTATGACTCCCTCTCTTTCTTTCTTTCGTTCTTTCTCGGGCAGACGTCTCCCGACGTCGTTGCCGCGCGCAGAAAAACTCGTATCTGCCGCCGGCGGGCGTGCGACGCGCGGTCACGCGCGCACGACGCGTCTCGAGAATTACGTAACTATTGTTACACGCCGTGTAAATAAAGGCTACTTACCGCTGATCGAGGCGAAAAACGTCAGGACAGCGCGCACACACACACGTTACACTCCTCTCGCGGAGACCGCTCGCGGCACACTGCCACGCGATGGCGCCCGTGTGCCGCCGCCATCTTGGATCGATCGTCGCCGTTGACGGCGGCGTAAGACGCGCGAATTTTCACTCGTACCGCGTGAGAGCACAGTAATAGTATTTTACACGAATATTTGTACATTCTTGCAGATATTTTGTAATTTATGTGTCAGTAAACAAATACAGTAACAATTAGCAAAAATAATACCAATAAAAGTAACTTTTAATTAACTTGTGACTAAACTCTCATTAACTGAGGACCGGTCTGATTATCTTCGATTCACTTTATCAGTCTAATAAATGTAAGAATTACCAATTGCAAAAATTAAAATTAATTATATTATTTTTTTGTTCATTATTTATTGTACATTATTTTGTTTTTCTGCAAATTATTTATTTACGTAGAGTACAATACTTTTAAATAATAATTAATTCTTCTTAAAGTAATTAAGAATTAAAATAATTAAGAAATTAGATTAATCAGTTTTAACTTTTACAATTCTTAAGTTTAAATAAATATCGATAAAATTAAAAATGATGTCTCTAGTCCTTTATCGATTAACTTGATGAACAGCAAAATCGCTTCTAGCAAAATTTTTAATTATGCATAACTATTCATAGATCAGAGGTAATTTCAAGAAATCTATTTTCAATACCGACAATAAATTTCATTACATAGTCATAATAAGCGCGACTAATTTTGTAAAGCTTTAAAAATATTTCTAATTATAAAATTATGACTCTAGGATGTTTTTTCTAATATCAATTCTAACATTAATTGATAATAACGATAATTGATAGACGTTTTATGATGTGAAATAAAACCACCCGTTTGATTCTTCGCCATTTAATATTCTTACACATTTAGAACATAAATAACAACAACTGATGCGCATAATATTATGATAACGTATTATGTTGACTTGAAAGGGATTAGAGAAAGGCGAGGTTTTCAAGTTCTATGCAAAAATAAATAAAATTTAAATCACGGAACGTATTGGCAGAAAGATATCCTTAATTATCATTAATTCTTACAAACTTAGAATGCAAATAGTAATAAACACACTCACATAACATTCATATATGCAATCATACAATATGTAGTCATTTGCGAAAATAACATCAGATGAGATATTACGAGCATCGATAAGTTGCAATAATATTAAGTGCGTAAACACACACTCGTCTGATGAAAAAGTATAAAAACAAATAAAAATCTAGAAAACATGAAATGCAATATTCAAGTGACTTGCCAACTATTTCGAATCACATTCAGATACATAATTTAATATATATAAAGAGTAATATATATATATATATATATATATATATATAT